GTTGTCATTTTTTTAAGCCATTTACCATCCACTTTCTAATAAATATAATTGGCAAAATGTGTAATTTTAATGGCCAACTGCTCTCTGTGTGTGAATATTTTTGCGGTTTGTTTAATTATATTTGCATTTCACCGGCGAATATCCGCCGTCATCTACGCTAATGTCAAATAGTTTTTTTTTTCAGCTGTGTAAATGCAAATACAGAAGGCAAAGTAAATCTGAATTACTGCGGAAATAGGACTAAAACGTATTTTTATAGGCTACAAAAAATAAAATAAAGTGACGTAAACAAACGACGGAAAATCTATTAATTAAAATTGTAATACAAAATTGACTACGCTCTGCCTATACCTATAAACAACTCTATAGATTCAAAGGTCTCTTGTCCAAAGGACAATCTTTGTTACATTTTGGATGAGCCAAATCCTTTACAATTGTTCAGCTTCATAAAGGACTCTTGCTGTTTGACCCCCTTTGTTTCCATTGACAAATGATTCCTGTTAATGCGAAGGACCTGTTCCTGTGTTCTGCAACTCAGCAGCATCAGGATATTGATGCATGCCGCTCAGTGCGCTGGTGAGGCGAGTGACATTGATATGCCTAATGAAGTGATGCATGCACGTCCTTGCAACGCCATATAGGATTCCGATGTTTTCGGTAATAATGCTACAATAGAGTCGCTAGAGCCAAACTCAATCTGAGGCCGCGAGGATGCGTTGCTTTGAGGCCCCGCTAAATCCTTGGGAAATTCCACTAAGCCAAAGTTACGTGCAAAGATACGGCACTGGAGAAAACTATGGCAAATGGAGATTTTTAAGTTCCTAAATATTATTATAAATTCAATGTGCTTTCCTCTTACTTAATAATTAATAATAACTCTTTTTAAATTATAGTTTTTATGATATTAACACACATAAGTTCAAGCTCCTAGTAATCCTTCCAGTGTATCTACGGACACGGGTAAGGATAATGAAATTGACCGCAACATTATTCGGGTGAGTGTTGCATGTGGCAGGTGGTAAGAGGTAAAATCGGATGGGGGATTTCAGCAGGTGTAAGTGTAAGCTTATTGTGGGTTTTCCCTGTAAGTGAGTATGTGTGCTTGTGTTTGTGGGAATAGGGGCGTGGTCGGGTGGAATTTAGGGCATGTAATGCAGAATGGTTTTGGGTCCTGTGCGTGCCGCTTGACAGAGTTAACATTTTAATTGTCATGAAATATTCATTTTGCGGGAGTTGCGGGCGGTCCCCTAACATGGAAATAGTTTTTGCAGGATATGTATGTCAAGCTTTTCATGAAAAGTGGGTGGACTTGGTGGTACTGCTTCTTTATAAGAAACTTAAGATGATGTAAGGCCAGGAATTCGCACACTTTAAAGAAGCTTATAAGGCTCGCAGCTTTCCTAATGGAATGTAATTACAAATTCTTATAGAAAATGTCAGCAAGATGGAAACATGTTTACATGCCACATCAACTGAATGCTAATTAAAATGGAAACTTTAAACTTTAATGACCGACCAAGAAGTGCACTTAAAACGAAACATCAAAAGATTGAAAAACTTCTAAACCTCCCCACTGGCTGCCATTACTCCCTATTAACTATTTAAGGCGTGACAATAAAGGGGAGTCAGCATGTCCATAGCCGAATAGCCGAGGAGTCTTTAAAGTGACTTTGGGTCGCCATTTAAAACTTAGGACAGGCATTATCTTCCCCTCTCTCGCCCCACCACCACCCACAACTTGTTGTTATTGCTGTTTATGTGGGTAGGGCGGGTGGAGGGTGGGGCGTCTGCTTTGTTTGTCAAGCGATTAAGTTGTAATTATGCGATGCTACGTGTCCAAAGACTTGGAATGAGTTTTTGGTTTTTTGGTTTTCTTTGGCCTTTTTCTTTTATTTGTTGGTTGAATTGTCCTTTCTTAAATTGTAGGATGGGATTATGGTCAGCGGTGCCTAATGAGTTGACATTAATAGGTGAGCCATTCGAATTTATTTCGGATGAATAGGAAAGAACTATGAATCGAAGGTGAGCAGAATTTAAAGTTCCTAAAGAGCAAAGAAGTGTGAATGGAGTTTAAGGACAAAGAAAGGCTTGTTAAATGCCAATTAAAACAGATGAAAGGGCAGGAAAGAGGAAAAAAGAAAAGTGCCACTGACGATGCCCATAAGTCAAAAATGAAGAGAGGGCAAAAAACGTGAAATTGAGCTAAAATAGACAATGGAAAAATTCTCTAAAAAAAGAAGCCGAAGGGAAAAATTCAAAAGCAACCGAAAAAAGAAAATACAAAATTTAACAAAGGCTGGCTTATGAAACATAGAATGTAAACTACGTATAAATGCAATAGAGAGAGAGACAAAAGAAGAACAAAATACAAATTTTATGTTTTTACAAAAAATTCTCAGATTCCTAATTTATTATGAAAATGTTAAATAATTTTTCCAAAGCCATGAATAACTCCCAAATTAAAAGTACAAATTAGAAATATGATAACAAATGAATTCAGAAAAACTAAAATGGCAAATGATAGACATAGCAAAGCCTAATGAAATTTGAATTACTGGCCGTAACCAAATCATAGCATACTGTTATGGGCTTTAACAGTTTTATTCGAAATATTTAAAAACTTATCAATAAAATATTATCTTGCCTAACCCACAACCTAAAAAACCTCCATTAAGGTGTAAATATTTAAAGTTTATACCAACAGCATAAATCCGATTATCAATTATACAAATTATTCACATTTAATACGACAAAATGCCGACAAAATAAATACCAATATTTGCACCTAAATCAAATCAACCTGCCTCCTGTGTTTCAGATTAGATGGTAAATAAATAATCCACTGCCTAATTAACATGTGGAAAATGTCCCCAATAATGGCAAGGTTGATAATGATTTCAATGACAGAAAGAGAGCTTTAAATTTTTGGCTTAAACATTTTGCGCAATTAAATTTGAAAAGTAAATATGAAATCAGCTTAATGTCGGCAGATTAGGAAAATTATTTACCTTTTTTTATGACTACGTCACGTTTGCCATATTAAGATATCCCCTCAGTCCATATACATATTTAATGCGTTAATTTTTTTAGCAGTCAGAGGGGTAATTTAAGGGGGGCAACACACGTGCTGCTGTTGGCATTTTCCTGCTGGCGCTGCTCCTTCAGCCGGATATCCTTTTGTTGTCGAGCGCCTTCGACTTTTATCGCTGCTAATAGGCCACGTCACCTGCGAAGAGGCGGAAAGCAAAGATGAGGCCAAAAAGCGAGCAAAGCAAAGGCCAAAAGGAAAAGACAATAAAAAACCAAATGCAGCCTTGAGGCCTCAACTCAACAGCAGCCACAGCTCACTCAGGCCAAAAAAAACAGATAACCGAAACAATAACAGCAGCTTAAGGAAAGTACAGTGAAGGCACTAAGTAAAGAGCAAGGCTTGTTATTTAAAACTTGAAAAAATGTCTAATTATTAGGTTTTGGTTACCTGTCAGTGAATTATTTTAATTATGTTAAATACATTTAGGATTCAAGATGAATTCTGTAATTCAATTTTCTTCTGATTATAAATCGAAATTAAGAAATATTTTAGTGAGTTTATAAATTACACTAATTTTACCCTAAACTCCACACATTCTAAACTCCAAATTATGATTGGCATATTTGAAAAGTTTCGAGGATAGAAAGTGTAAAAGAGGAAGTCAGGTGATGAGTTTAAGTTTATGGAAAAACGCATTCGCATAGCTTAGAAAATTCTCTCGCAACTTGTGAAATCTTTTTGAAGCTCAACTCGAACATGGAATGGGAACTCACGAGTATTTCAGGTATTTCAGGGAGTTTTATCAACTATTTAAAGCTGCAAAAATGCTCGTATATTGCCCCCAACATAATTAGTTGCGCTTAAAGTTTTGGTGCGTCGTTCCTTGTTTTTTGTTGCGTTTTTAGTGGGTGCTCATTTCTCGAGAGGATGTTCGGCATGTAGGTCAGGGGGCAAGTTACGGTTTGGTTTTCTGTTTACATGCGTTTTTTTTTTAGCTTTGTTTCTGCGGTGCGTGGTCTATGTTAAGTTTGCAGTTTGGTAGTTCTGTTAACTGGTAAACTGTAAACTGGCTATTGCAGTAAGCTGTTACTTTTACGATATTCACTAGCGCTGTTATCTTTTCTAGTGGTTTATGTTAGTTAGCAGTTAATTGCTGTGCACCACAGCTGTGGTCTGTTAGGATTACCATCTTACGATATTACGCTGAATTAAGGAAGTCCGAAGTCTAAGTATGATTTTGGCCGGCTTTTATATAAAAATACGCAAAAAGAAAATAAATAAAAATAAAATGTATTTATATAGCATTTAAAAATATATTGCTCATTCGATAATAAAGAAAGCTTCAAAGTATATATTTATTTTTTGCATTAACAATAATACAGTTCATAAGGAAATGACTTTATGTTACTACTTGATCAAAAAAAAATTTTTAATTACACATAAAATATTTAAATAAAAATAAATCTTGTCTTGTATTTTCTTCGTAATTTCGTTTCACCTTAAAATAATTTCAAAAAATTCAACAATTAATTTCAATTACTTCCAAGACTCCACAGCCTCTTTATATAGACCACTCTATTAACATACCATTTATTTGCTAATAACCATATTTGTATTAATTTAGCATAATTTCCAAATGGCTTCCTTTAACGAAATTATTACCAGCACTTTGCTAATTTTGTTAGCTAATTGAAAGCCAATAAATCGGCCTGCATGTCTGGCCACTGAAGCAAGGCGAAAACTGACTTTAAGTAAGGGTTTAATGCACCCCCAAAATAAGCAAAACCAAAAAATAAAACAATTATTTAACTTGGCATGCAATAAATGCTGGTTAGCCGCGTTAGCAGAGGGTTAAAAGCCGGTTAACACTGCTAGAAACCCGAAGTTTCTCTGTTGCGTCGCTGCTTTGGCTTCGTGTGGCGTCACTGTTAAGCGGTTAACATGGTAGCAGAGCTCAATTTCCGAGCTCCGATTCTTGGCTTTCAGTCACCTGTTAAGGCCCAAACGCTGCGAACGTCGACGGAGTTTTTCCGTGAAAATTCGAAAGAGGGAAAATCACGAGAGTGCGTACGGTTAAGAGTGTGCGTGTGTGTTTGTGTTCTTGTGTTTTCTTGTTTGTGTTAATTTCTGCATGCTTTTTCCGCTTATCATTTGCACTTGCGAATATGCATTCTATGCTTACTAAAAAAAAAAAAAAAGAAGAGAAGAGAAGAGAGAAAAACAAAAATCCTGTTTGAAAACCAGTTTTGTATTATTTTGGCTTTGATTTGGCGGCGACGTCGAACAACGGAATCCAGCTGGTCCAGAATTCTTGAACGCGCGCCGTGACGTCGCCGTGTTATGTAGTGTGTGGATTTGGCCAAGAGGCGACTTTGGCCAAGAAGACACTCAATATCAATAGAAGCTTTTCATTTGGTTTACCGTTAGGCGGCGGGTCTAGTTTGCTTGTCGTTGCTGTTGTAGTTGTTGCTGCTCTCGAGTGGGCAGCGCCAACGGAGCGTGCATCATCTGGGTTTAGAAAGCCAGAGAATCCATCGTATATACCTAGTCTCTCCATCTTTGGCTCTTAAATAAATCAAGAAAAAAAAAAAACAGTAACAAAAACCAGTAACAGCAGAAGAAGGCTTAATTAAATTTAAAGCACACACTTATGGCCAGACTTCACAGGTTGACCGACTTCTTCTGGCAGCGAGACCAATGAAATTGTATTAAAATCGTTAATTGATTTGTTTATTTGTTGTTGAAATTGTTGCGGAAAATTGGATAAATACTTCAGTCGCTGAAAATGTAAATAAATTCAAAATAACTTTGGCAGCTTGTTTGCCTATAATTATGCGGGACAAAAGGAATTTATTTCTTTGTAATTGAATTAAAATTAAAATAATAGATTTGGAATGTTTGAAAGTAAAAAATGTGCCTACATACATTTTTAAAAAAATTCCACAAAAAATATTTATTTTAATATAAAATACCAACAAACTTTATTTATTTAGAAAATAATTTGAAATAATATTTAAAACCGAGTTACATAAATAAATCACATTCTTTCATTCCTTTAAATTCAAGCAATTATTCCAATTACCAAAAATCATTTAATTCAATTTTCCCTAAAAACAATCCCATTACAAAACCAAAGCCCATAAAGCCAACTAAAGAATTCCCTTTGATTCACGCTCGCCGAAAATCTGTTTGTTTCATAAATAAAAGGCCGAAAAAATAACAAAAATTGAGAGCGGAAATTACTAAGATTTTTCGAATGCAATCATAATTATTACTCGTGGCATTCCTGCAGAGTTTTCATTCTCTGGGAAAACCACACGAGAACATTCCGGTGGCAAACAGGTTGCCATAAACCCGAGAGCAAGAGCAACAAGAACAACAACAACAACGCCAAAAGGGAAAATCAAACACGTGCACAGAACGGAAAAGGTTAACAACACAACAAATAACAGCAAACAGCAGCGGTAACAGCATTAAGTTTTTCCTTTTATTTTTTTATTTCCATCAAACACAGAGAAATAAACCAAATTTGAAAACCGCGCGCTAACTGGTAGAGAAAAAACACAGAATTCGAATATAAAACAGGGAAAAAATAAAAAACGGATATAAAGGCATTTCAAGCGTTTGGCATTTTGTCAACCAGTAAAGGGCCAAGTGACGAACAAAAAAAAAACGAAAAAAAGTACAGGGAGAGGCACACAAGTGGCTGCAACAAAGGGTCTCCCGAACCACCAAACCCGCGACCTCTGACACCCCCAACCCAACAACCAAAAAAAAAAAAAAATAAAAAATATAAAAGAAAATCTACCTTTGGCCGGAAAACGCTTGTTTCAGCACGCGAGCGATAGAGACGGGACGACTGCGAGGGAGGCAGACAGGGACAAGCAGCAAGAGCAGCAACAACAAAACAAACAGGTGAGAAGGAGACTTGCATGAATGAATGAATGAATAAAGGCTGGGGTGAGGCATAGAGGGAGGGCCAGTGTGTCGAAGTGAATGAATGGAAGCCACAGCTGAGAACTGCGGCCTGATACAGTAATCACTCGGTAATTGTTGCTGTTAGATAAGATTTTCATAATTTAAAAACAAAAAACAATTTAAAAAACTTAAGAAAATATACAAAATTGTCTTAGCCATCTAAAGTAAATCACTCAAAGCAACTCAAGACTTCGCTTCTGAAACCACCACAAATTCAGCTTAGTCACTACCCACTGCTTTATAGTTCTGCTTGCGATGGAGTGATTGAAACTGATAAAGAATAATAAAAAAAGGCTTTCCTCTTGCACGAGGATTTTCCCAAACAATTCTTTCTCGACGCGGTGGTTTTTTCGTTGTTCCATTTGACTTGCCCCGCTTGGAAAACAGAAAGAGAGATGCCTGCTCAATAAGCAATTAATATGCACAAGTGTCTGCCCGGCGAGTTTTCCTACCGAAAATCTCCGAGTGGCAATGGGCGCGAGTCTCGACTGTGTGAAAATGGGGGGAAAAGAAAGAAAAGCCGAGCCCAGCGTGGCACATTGTTTCGGGGTTTTCACGCAGTGTTAAGAGCTTAATTTAATTCCGAAAAAGGTTTTTTCTCCCACTTGATGAAAATTGAGTTTGGTTTTGTCAAAGAAAAATCTGTGAAAAAATATTCGAATGCTATCGTGATTCAATAATAAAATATATATTTTTGCGTAAATTTTATTAATACGTATTCGTATGAAATTAAAGAACCTTTTTTTTCCACCAATTAAAGGAAAAATGACCCTGTTTCCACGAATCGAAATGATACAGGCGAGGAAGCATCAGCATTAATTTGAACACAAATCAGGTTCTATTATCTCAATTGAAATTTTCCTTTGAGTAATTTGAAACCAAATTTGATTCTCTTCTCTCTCTCGCCGGTGACTTCCATTTTCCGTTGTTATTTCTCCATTTCCTCAGCTTACCCCAGTCACGATTGCAACTTTAATCTATGGCAATTTATATTTGCTTTTGTTGGTACTAAGCAAATTCACCCAGAAAACGCACACAGAACTATTATGGCCAAAAGGAGCGTAGCTCAGAGATTTTACCAGAGGGATCTTACAAAGACCAAAGAAGAAACTAAAAAATAAATCAAAATATGCATAGCAATATGTTATCATTCTGTAGATTCTAAAAATAAATTATAACCATTCTCTCCCTTCTTCCCCAAAGCCTCTGACCTTGGTGGAAACTCTTCCCGAAGTAGAAACCAAAGTTAGCCAGGAAAAGTTGTTGCAAAAAGCTTCCGAAGGAATGCCAAAAATACGCAAAACAAAAAAAAAGGAAAAAGGTTTTTGAAAAAAAGGAAAACAATGGCGATGGAACAGAAGAAGAAGAACAGAAATAATGCGCAACGTATTGTTGTAGTCAACTTGATTCCGGCGAGACTCTTGTGAAATATCGCACTTTGCTTATAGGAATGCTTATCTATGCTGGAAATAGAAATTCAGGAAAAGTCCAAGTAAACAAATAACAAAAAACACAAACAGTAACAAAACAGTATGGCAAACAGAACGAGGAAAAACCAAGCGCAACAACTCTCGCACAGACACAAAAAGTAATGTGAAACACAATAAAAGTGTCTAACAGTCTAAAGAAATGAAAGTCAAAATGCGTGCGAGTGTGTGTGTGTGTTGAGAAAAGGGGGCTATATAATATAAGACTATATATAAAAGAGGCCCCCCATTTCCTCTTAACTTCTCACAGCATCTTCGCCGGCTTCATTAGCGGCAAATAGTGTTTTCTATATCTTCTCTTTCGTTGATCTTGATCGTGAACTCGAAAATATTTAGAAAATGTGTTAAAGCCATGGCCAAAGAATTCGATAGAGAAATATGTAGTAGAGAGATGAAGGGGTTTCCTACTGAAGACTCGTGTCTGGCTTTTGGAGAAGAAAGCGTGCAAATTATGGTTTCTAGGAAACTGGGTGCCTGACTGATGAACACTGCCTAGCAGCACCTGTTTCTATCATATTTAGCAGGTACAGTGGTTGATATAGCGATTAATGGATGGTATTATATTTTGATTGCTGGGTAATTATTAAATTTTCTTCCTTATCTCTACGACATAGATCATTTCTTTCTCTTTAGTTTGGGTTGAAATTGAAGGAGTTCCCCATTTCAGTCGTTAATTTGCACATTTTTATCTCTGGGAATTATAGCTGAAAATGATTTAAGGAATGATTATTTGATTTTATTTAAATAAAAACTTTATGTTTCTTCTTATTTATAGTATATTACGTTTCTTCTTAAGAGTGATTGGATTATATTTTGTCAAATTAGAATCATTTTATTAAGCTGTATCTCGAAGATACTTATTTTTACTTCAAGATTCTAACTAGATTACTTCAAGATTAACAAAATTCCAATATTTTCCCTTTATATAAACCCTATTATTTAGAAATCCCTTATTTCTTACTTAGAATTTCTTTTGTCTCAAAAGTAATTTAATAAAGTTAATATAGCTTACTTTCTTTTTGGCCACCTTTCTTCCCAGCAATCCATCATTTCGTTTCCCAAACATTCTTAGAATCTAAAAATCTATCTGAATTCAAGTCAAGCTATTTCCCTCGAAAAGTCGTTAGCCACTTCCTTTTGACCAACTCGGTGACTTGGCCAACAGTGCCATAACCACTTCCTCGGATTCTTGCCACTGTCAGAGAGGGGTTCCCTCACAGATAATTGAATTATGATCGGGGAGTGTGTCAAGAGTGGGGACGAGCGGGTCTTACAAAGCTAATGAACACAAACTGAAGGGTAGTCAAGTGAGCCAAGAAGACAGGGCCGGCATTGAGGTGATAATGATTTCGGTGTTCATTATCATAATGATGATTATGCTGCCACTCAGAAGCGAATGGAAAATGTTTGCAAGCAAGAAAGAGAAGGAGAAAGAATAAGTCGCGGCAATGAACTCGAGAAAAGAAATGCAGACAAACAAACAAAAAGAAGTGGTAGAAGTAGCATGCATAACTAAGTAACTGCCACAAACAGTGAAAGAGAGGCAGCAACAGGAGCAGTGAGAGCGAAAGAGCTAGCAACTGGGTGAATGAAAGAGATGGCAGGCAAGGCAGCTTGCAGTTGCAGTTGTCAGTGCATCATTATCCAGCTGAAATTTTTGTTGGCCTATTAGAAGGATGGCCAGTGGCAAAAAGTTTTCATCTCGGCAGCTGCAAAATATACTGGCCTACACTGAGAGAAATATTAGTCAAAGAATATCACGAAGGAATGGAAAATAAAAGAAATTATTTGATTCATTAAATAAATTTGTGCTTTCTAAACTTACCTTTCTAATATAGAAAGAGCCTGTTTTAGTCTTCACTTAAGATTGTGAATTCTTTTTCCAAAGGCTATCTTTTTCCAGGAATAAAAAGAATTTTCTTCACTGCATTTTAAAGATCCCTTTTCACTATCTGTATTTGACTTAAATTTAGTTGGCAGATGAAAAAAAAGAAGAGTGCTATATATAAAAGAGAGGTCATTCCTCCAGCGTTTATCACGTTATGCTATGCCTAACCTCACCCCCTCGACTTTATTAACATATTTCTCTTTCCCTTTCTAGCTACCTGCCTAGTTTTTCTTCGTTTTTTTTTTGTTACCAAGTGTGGCTTTGGCCTTAGTTGTTGTTGTAGTTCTTTGAGTTTTTCTTCTTTTTGTTGGCAGTTTTTTGTACATTTACTGGTTTTTTGGGACTACTTTTTCAGATTTTAGGCAATTATTCAAAGTACTTAGCTTAGTTATGATAACAAAGATGTTTATGTAAGCTTTAATTACTGTTTAAGATCCATTTTATGATAATTACCAAGAATTTAAGATATATATTTAGCTTTTTGCTTACTTTTGTAAAACGTCTAAAATTCCTGATGGGTACTCCCTGGGCGATTCAGTTTGAGGGCTTCTTTATTTTGCCTCCTTTATTCTGCGGTTTTTCCGTTGTCCTCATTTCCTTAGCTGCGCCCACCATTCACAGTGGTTTTGGAAATTGGAAAATGTGGCAGGAGAGGTGGAAGCTGTCGGGAAAAGAACCCAACTTGGGTCCAGAATATCCCCTGACCAAACTTCTCACTGTCGTTCCACGCTTCTTTTACTGCTGCCGGTGACGCTTGCTTTTATGCATGCCGAGTTTTTTCTGCCTTTCATGTTTTTTTTTCTTCTGCTTCTTTTTTTTTGGCCTACGGTTTTTGGCCAACAGGAAATAGCCGACATTAGACTGGGCTGTGGCACGTGTTTATGTTGCTTTGCTGTTATTTTATGCTTCACGCTGGGGCAGGAAATGCGACAGAAAAATGCATTTTCAGTTGCCATGGAATTTCCAGCTCTCCCTCTTTTCGTTCAGGAAAAACTGTTGGCAGTTTCCCATCTGCTTCTATTTCTCATTCTGTGGATGTTTTTTTTTGTTTTATTTTGTGCATTTTGCGTTTTTTTTTTTTAAACGATCTGTGTTTGGGTTGCTTTCGATTTTATTTTCATTTCGGTTTAATCCAGTGGAGAAATACATCTTTTATATGTGAACGGAGACCGAGAAAATTACGTTTTTATGTTTCTCCTAAAAAAGGCAAAAGAAACGAACGATTTAACTTAATTTTTTTATTTTTCCAAACGAAATTGAAACTTTTACGGCAACTATAAAGCCGAACTAAACGGTTTCTTTTTTGTTATTCAATTTAACAATCCATGTGAATTGTCTACTTAAGATCGTTTTTAAGATGAATTTTCAAAGCATTTTTATGGGTAGTATAATAAAAGCATTATTAAGTACTTAGGATAGTCAGGAAAACGGTTTATAACTTTAGCAGGATTAAATAGTTTAAAAGTTAAGTAATGTTTAGAGTCTCTTATGGAATAATAACATGAAAAAAAAAAGTTTAATATAATTTAAAATATAAATATCTAAGATTTGTTGCTCATTTT